AATGAAGTTTTTAAAAAATACTACAGCATGTTTAGTAGTTTGAATATTAAAATAAATTTTACTATATGGGGGAAAGTCAATAGAAAAGAGACAAATTGTTTTTAGTAAAATTTTTTAAATTTTAAATTAAAATATCTCAACAACTACTGTAATTAATCAAATTTGCTAAAAATTTTATATTTTAATCTTGAAATTATATAGAATTAAAATAAAAAAAAATTTATTAAATTTGATAAGATAATTGCCAAGATATTTAAGCCTAAAGTCAAGAAGACTTTTATTTAAAAAAAATTTGTCCCTTTTCTATTGACTCACCCCATATAGACAAAGTAGATAATATAGATAATATTAATAATTGTTAAGCTAAAGTGAAAAAAAATTATTATTATGTATTATGGTTTTCACTTTATTAAAAAAAATAAGCTTTTTTTATTATAATAAAAATAGCCTATTTAAGATTATAATTTAGATATACAAAATGAATAATTGAAATAATAAGCAAGATAAATTATTTGAAACAATTAAAAATGTAAAATAGTTAAATAAAATAAATTATTTGAATTAGTTGAAATGAATAAATAAAATAATAAAATTAAAGATAAAAATAGATAAACAAAATAAAATAATTAAAGACAAAAAATAAATAAACATAATAAATAATTAAAGATAGAAAATAAATAAGCAAGATAAATAATTAAGATAAGAAATAGGTAAGCAAGACAATAATTAAAAATAAGAAATAGACAAAATAATTAATAGGTAAGAAAGACAAAATAATTAAAGATAAAAATATAAGTAACAAGATAAAATAACTAAAGTTAGAATAAATAAGCAAGGTAGAATAATTAAAGTTAAAAATAGATAAGCAAAATAAAATAATTAAAATAAAAAATAGATAAGCAAAATAAAATAATCAAAGATAAGAAATTGGTAAGTAAAACAAATTATTTGAAATATTAAAGATAAAAAATAGATACTTTTATCTGTAATAAGTAGTGATTATATCTATTTTTAATTTAATTTTATATAATATTAATATAATAGTTAGAACTATAAAAACAATATAATTTAGTGTAATAAAACTAAATCATACTAAATCATAATATTTATATTAGAAAATAGAAACTGTTATAAGTCCAAAGCAAAATTGTATAAGATTTGTTATATTATACAAATATGCAAGTAGAGACAGACAGAAAATTCAAAATTATATTTTTGATATTTTACTATGGAAGTGTTAAGAATAATACGTTTGAAGTATCAAAAATGTAATTTTACATTATTTTGTATAAAAATTGAGCATCCTCCGCTATGCTCCAGACAATTATATTAATAACATATAAATTTATTTTATATTTTCAATAAAAATATCATTAGTTTAATTTATCTTGCAATTAATAATATAATCAAACAAGTAGTATATTAAAAAGCAAAATAAATTAAATATATTTTTAGATTTTGTTAAATAAGTAAATTAAACAATTTTAAAATTTTGATATAAGATTTATAATAATATTAATATGATAAGCAAGAATATAAAAATAATATAATTTAGTATAATTAAACTGAATTGTATAATTTTATATTATTTATATTATATTAATATTATATATATTTGTATTATATTAATACTATATATATTTGTTTTATATTCTTAATAAAAATATTATTAGCTTGATTTAGCTGTTTATTTGACTTATAAAAACTGACTAATAATAGAGTTAAACAAGCTAATAATATAGTAGTACATTAAAGTGTAAAATAAATTTAATAATATATAAAATACAAGTAAATTAGACAATTTTTTAATACAGAACCAAAAGAATTATATTAATATTAGAGTATTTAATTTAATAATTTCTATTAAGAAAATAAATTTAAATTTTGTTAGTAGTTTTTTTCTGGAAATTGTTATTTGCACTATAGATTTTTACTATTTGCATTATAGTTTATATAAATCCTTTTAATTTTATTACATAATTTTTTAAACTTTAATTGAAGATATCTTAATAGCTATTCAATAAAATTTAATGAATTTTTTTTTATTTGAATTCTATAGAACTATAGAATTTGAATAAAAAACTTTTTATCAAATTTAACTAATTGGTTGTCAAGATATTTTTGATCAATGGTTTGTAAACAATTTTAGTAAAGTTTTTATATAATATATGTTTTAAAATTTTATTCAAACATTGATTAAAGATATCTTGGCAACCAGATAATCAAATTCAATAATTTTTTTATTTGAATTCTATAGAACTATAAAATTAGAATAAAATTTTTATTAAATTTAATCAATAGGTTGCCAAAATATCATCAATTAAAGTTTCATAAACAATTTCAGTATAATATATATTTTAAAAGTTTACTCAAATATTGATCAACAATATCTCAACAACAAATTTATCAAATTTGATGAAATATTTTTATACAAATTATATAGAACTAAAGAATTTGAATAAAAAAAAATTTATTAAATTTGATCAATTGGTTGCTATGATATTTTTAATTAAAGTTTTGTAAACAATTTCAGTACAGTTTTTATATAACATATTTAAAAATTTACTCAAACTTTGATTGAAGATATCTTAACAATTAATTGATCAAATTTAATAAATTTTTTATTTGAATTTTATAAAATAATAAAATTTAAATAAAAACTTTTTATAAATTTAATTGATTAGTTGCCAAGATATCTTTAATCAAAGTTTTGTAAACAATTTTTATTTAACATGTATTTTAAAAGTTTACTCAAACTTTATTGAAGTATTATGATAACCAAATAATCAAATTTGATGAATTTTTTTATCCAAATTTATTAAACTATAGAATTCAAATAAAAATATTTATTAATTTGATTAATTAGTTGCTAAGATTACTTTGATCAAACTTTTGTAATTAATTTTAATATAGTTTTTATATAATATATGTTTTAAAAGTTCATGCAAACTTTGGTTAAAGATATCTTAGCAACAAATTAATCAATTCAATGAATTTTTTTTATATGAATTCTATAAAATTTTAGAATTAAAGTAAAAAAATTTGTTGCTAAGATATTTTTAATCAAAATTTCATAAACAATTTTAGCACAGATTGATAATATATAGGCAACTAATTGATGAAATTTCAATGAAATTTTTTTTATTCAAATTTCATAGTTTTTAAAAATTTGAATAAAAAAAATTTTATCAAATTTGATTAATTTGTTGCCAAGATATTATTAATCAAAGTTTTGTAAACAATTTTAGAGCAGTTTTTGTGACATATATTTAAAATTTTGATTAAAGATATCTTGGCAACCAATTGATCAAATTTGTTGAAACTTTTTTATTCAAATTCTATAAAACTATTGAATTCAAATAAAAAAATTTTTATTAAATTTAATTAATTAGTTGTCAGGATATTTTCAATTAAGTTTTGTAAAGAATTTCATTAATATATGTTTTAAAAGTTTACTTAAACTTTGATCGAAGAAATTCTCAACAACCAATTAATCAAATTCAATAAATTTTTTTTATTTGAATTCTATAAAACTATGGAATTTGGATAAAAAACTTTTTATTAGATTTGATCAATTATTTGCCAAGATATCTTCAATCAAAGTTTAAAAATTTTGAAATATTTATATGATACTATCGAAAAATTTACATAAACATGGTGCAAATAGCAAAATCTATAGTATAAATAGCAATTCTTTTTTTTATTTTAATATCAGATTTAAATTACTTTGATATATACTTTTAAAAAGTATTTTTAATTTAATGGTAAATAAATTAAAAACAGATCATTTTATTTAATTGAACACAATATTTAAAGTATTTTTAATTAAAAATTATAAACAGACCAATTTTCTAGTAATCATCAGAATACAAAAATTATATAATTTAGTGAGATTAAACAAAATCATATTTTTTACATCATTTATATTGAATATTATTAGCTTTATTATTTGATTATTATAAAAATTATTAATAATAGAGTTGAACATAATAGTATCTTAAAATACAAACTAAATCAGATATATTTAAGTTTGTGTTAAATATGAGTAAATTAACAATTTATAATGTTTTCAAACTTAATAATCTCTCAATAATAACTTTTAGATATAGGAGATCAAAGCCTCTGCTTTGCACTATTTTTTTAAAAAAATAATGTGTTTATTAAACCAGAATGCAAACTGATATTAGTGTTCCCAACTCATTGTTGGATTTTTCATAAAATATTATATATATTTATATTATGGGGAATAATTAAGGTAAATTGTTATAAGATCAAAGGACTTCATGGCGAAAATTGGTTATAATTTTATAAAATTAGTGATCAGAATATAAATTCATGATCGAAATTATGAGTCAAAGAACCTCCACGATCGACTTTAATACAATTCATTAGAAGTTTTTTTTTATTAAAAAAGCTGATTATGAAAATTCTTCGAACAATAATTGCAATTATTCATTGATAACTATATTAGCAACGTTCATTATATATCTTTAACTGGCAAATCGTAAGTGCAAAAATTTTATACCCGCAGTAATTCGGATTTTAATGCCGTGCTCTGATTGATAAAAAATTTTGAACGTCGTAAAGTCATAAAGTCGATCATCCGACTGATGCAACCGAAGTTACACATTCATGAGCTTAATTTTAACTGGCGTCACGGGATAACACTGTATTTTTATTAGTTGAGATGCGGGAGATATATAAGGTATATATCTCTCGCGGGAGATGCCTAAAATTGTCCTTTATATTTTATGTTTATTAATTTTTAAAAATTTTTTAGCTTCTACTTTAGTACTATATACTAAGAGTAGTAATATATTGAATCTGATTAGTTACTTTAATATAATCTAATATAAAATCAAATAAGTTGATTTTCTAAAAATCGGCTAATTAAGCTAGCTAAGTCAACAAAATTAACTAATATGAAATTAACTACAAACACTACTATAGTACTTATTTTTAATTTAGATACAGTAACATTTTGAAATTATTATGTAATTCTATCTAACAATCTCAGTATTATCTACAGGCGTATATTCCCATTTCCCCTCCCTGAAATTCCAAGCTTCATAAAACCAGTTCTTGTAGGTATTCTTCAAAGTTTGATCCCAGATCTGCTCTTTCTCCCAACAACGTGGAACAAGTTCCTTTTTTGTAACCAGGTCTTTGGTCGTTGAATTCCAAATGACTCTAACCATAGGCACTCCATCTTCATATTCGGAGTACATATCCTTAATGACTTTTATCTTCTCAATGTTCTTTATCTGATGGATTAATATAATTTCACTAATGGAGCGGAGATCCAGATACTCGTCAAAGTCATGGAAGGGATATTGGCGAAGGGGCTCCCAATTTGAATAGCCGACATAGTGAACAAAGTACTTCATTTCTTTAGCCGCATGACATACCCACTCACCCACTAGCCAGTCCTCATGGCCTTTGAAATTTGAATTAGCCCAGTTTGATCCAACAATGTCTACAACAAGGTCGCGGGAAAGAGTATATCCTCCACCTTATTTCGAATGTAAGGAAAGTAGATCAAAAAGCGCATGAAGCGTTGATTATAATGAAATAAAAACATACCTCCCATATATGCATATGTTCCAGGTTGGCCTAATTGGTCGATTACGGCATTGCCATAGTACACACGTTCTCTCGGTATGTCTTGAATATCACGATAGTAATGAATAAGGTGGAGGAAAGCGTCATCGTCCAATTTAACCATATAGTTATCTTTCCTCTAAGCGTATTCAAAATATTGAATGCTTATTGACATATGTAGTATCATTAACAAGACTAGAGTACTTACATTTTTAGCAAACCATTTGAAATATTCAAATGTCTTTCCTTCGTCTATGTTCTCTGTGATATTCAAAATAACAATATCTCCGTACATCTTAGACTCCTCTTCCAGCTTATCTTTATATTCGTCCCTTGGCAGTCCAGAGATGAACCTAATCGACACAGGCGATTTCTTGACACCGAGATACCGCGCCAGAGCGTCGATATTATGTATATACAACCTGCGCAACAAGTCCCTAACCTCTATCTTTTCATCCACGGTCATAATCCCGATGAATATCGTTAAATTCTGATCCACTCCTGGAGGACCCAGAGGGCCCAGAGGAGGTTTGGCATAGGTAGCATATTCTGAGGATATAAAGTTAGTTGAAAAGTAATAAAATACGTAAAGGCTGAAAATAAAGATGAAGAAATTGATGTAGTATTTATATACTATGGCTCTGACCATTTTAAAAATCTGAGTCTCGAAAATAAGATATGTTTAAATATTTATAATGTAAGCGAAACTAGTCATCAAAGGTGCACCAATTTTCACCAATCAGTAATCACCGATCATACTGGAGATACTAATGGTACTGGGGATCAGTGTTCATTTTTCACGTGCGCACGTGTGTGGGTCCAATCAAATTACGAAATATAAACACTGTTGGAGATATTGGTGATACCGGTGTTACCAGATTTATTTAGTATGAAAATGTATTAATTCAAGATCTGTAATACTTGGAAAAACGTACGCCTTAAAAAGGGTAAACCAGTAAGGTTTGAGTAACGTTGAATGACAATACTACGTAGATTTGGGCAGAGACGAGTATATGTTTTATTTATTTTATTTAAGTATATGCTTTTATTAGGATATATACGAGATAACTTTTACATCGTGATAAATGCTACTCATATATACTATTTACTAAATGTGTCAAATGTTCTATATGTTCTAATTGTGCTAAATGTCCCGAATATCCCAAATATCCCAAATGTATGGGCTAAATATGCTATTTATAGTAATGCATTCGATCGTCAATTACTGTAAGATCGTAATTGACGATCTTATTTTTTTACCATGACAATGTATATCCGATAGCACGTATTTAAGGAAGTAGAAGTCGTATGCCCTTTGAACACTTCACAGAAATCTCATAATTTGTCCTTATAAATAAACTGTCTATCTAAATATTCTTTTATGATGCTCTCCAGACTAAGTTAACACCGGTGGTACTGCTGTGATTTGCTTCGATTTGCTTTGATTATAGAAAATGTATTTTTCAAACACGCATGATGATATTTTTAGCAAATATAATAAAATATTTTGTATTTCAATAGTTCAAAGAAATAAAAATATTATGAGCTACATATTTGTGCGTAATCCATTTGATTAAACTTTTTGTTTGTCTTGACTCAATTCAAGTATATTACTTATTCATCTTGATTTAGTTTTTGAGTATAATTTTTTTCATTCACTTAACTGTAATTTAATAGTTATTGCAGTATTTGGTAAATTTTATTCTATTCATTTTAGCAACGAGATGTTTTTAATTGATTATTTATATCATTTAAATAAAAATTGTGTATTGAGAGAAACAAATTTAAATTTTGGTACTGCTATTTAATATTATCTAGAAAAAATTTATTTAGAAAACAGGGGCACCTATAGTTGTTAGACGAAACATCAAGGTTTCGCACTGACGAAAGTCGAAATCTAGTTTCGACTTTTGTCAACTAAAATTTCAAATGCCGAAACTGACCAAAAGGTGTCGAAAGGTGTCAAAACCGACGAAAGGTATCAAAACTAGCGAAGAACGGTAATAAACTGACGAAACTGCAAAAGGTGACAAAACTAATAAAAGATGTAAACATTGTTGAAGCTCATTGAAGATAATGTGAATAAAAAATAAACTACAAAACAGAAAATTTATAAAAATTTTAAACAATGTGAGTAAAGGCGCCTTGCCTTGGCTTTCTACATTTTATATTCATAATTTAAAATATACAATTTATACTTAGATTAAAATTAATAAGAAACTTAGCATAGATTATTTTACATATTTCAGTATTTTGATTAAAAAATAATTGTTATGCCTATTGGCTAAATTGACTTGAATAAAAGACAAATTAGTACACACAGGTCGAACTTTAAAACTTCGATAAGATTTCAAAGATATCAGCGGAATATCGGACACTTATAAACCGATACCGACCAGATATTTGGTGTGTACTGTACTCCAACCTATCAAATAGATATTGCATCCGATAGGCCTATTAGACATCTGATATTTATTTCTTAAAAAAAATCAGATATTTGATATTTTGTTAATACTGTAGAAGCGTCAGATCACTAATATGCCTATCTGATGCAATATCTATTCGATAGGTAGCAATACGCGCCAAATATCGGATAGACTCCATGAGTTCTAGTTTATTTGAGCTAATATTTTTCAGAGCAAAATTTTAATCTATTTTCTAAAAGTCATTTTATTGTGCAGTGCGGGCGGATATCATCAATTTTCATCATAATATTAAAATAAAAGCTGCGCCAAAATTTTCCTAAAACTTTAAGCGAAGTTATCTCAGCAACTATCTGATCAAATTCAATGAATTTCTTTTTTTTTTTTTTGAATTCTATTGATCCATAGAATTCAATAAAAAAATTTGATCAAATTTTACTAGGTGGTTGCTAAGATATCTTCGCTCAAAATTATTTAAAAATAGCTAAACATTTATTAAATAGAAACTGCGTCAAATTTTCTTAAAACTTTGAGCAAAGCGAGGATATATCAACAACCGCCTGATCAAATTCGATGAAAATTTTTTATTTGAATTCTATGGATCATTGAATTAAATAAAAAAAAAATTAATTTGATTAGATGGTTGCTGAGATATCTTCGCTTAAAGTTTTAGGAAAATTTTGGCGCAGCTTCTATTATGATGAAAATTCATGGTACAGCAACCACCTAATCAAATTCGATGAATTATTTTATTTGAATTTAAAATTCAAATAAAAAAATTCCATAGAATTTGATTAGATGGTTGCTGAGATATATATCTTCGCTCAAAGTTTTAGGAAAAACTAGACGATATTTTTAAAAGCTTTGAGCGAAGATAGCTCAGCAACCATTTGATCATATTCGATGAAAATTTTTCATTTGAATTCTATTGATCTATAGAATTCAAATAAAAAATTTGATCAGGTGGTTGTTGCTCAAAATTTTAAGAAAATTTTGGCGCAGCTTATATTTATGATAAACATTGCATTTTTTAATAAAAAAACTTTGAGCGAAGATTTCTCATCAACCACCTGATTAAATTCAATGAAATTTTTTTTTTTATTTGAATTCTATAAATTCATAAAATTCAAATAAAAAAAAAATTCGCTGAGAAATAGCACAATACCACGTACAATCGATTGCAATAAATTTGCAAACAGCGATAAATCAGAAATAATTCGAAATTTTACTTATAATCTTATATAAAAACTTTAAAATTTTTATATTACCGCACCAACTTAAATTTATTTTAACCCTAATTCTGACCCAAACAAATATATATTTTATTTTTTTGACCTTAATTATACTCAACCTTATCGTTGATGATAGTATCTGGCTCTATTGATCTCTCGTTATCCAATTATATTTTCGATAGCATTATACAATAGTCAGCATTCCATTAGCGTTAGCTATCTCTACAGATTTTTTATAAAAAATGTATGCCTTATACTCATCTTTTTCAACCCCAATTCCATTAAGATAACAATTTCCAACTTCTTTTATTCCTTTAATATTTCCCATATCTGCAGATTTTTGATAGTAAATGAATGCTTTTTGTTTATCCTTTTCAATACCAATTCCATTTTGATAACAATATCCAACCAAATATGTTCCATCAACATCTCTCATCTCTGCAGATTTTTGATAATAAATGAAAGCCTTATGTTCATCCTTTTCAATACCAATTCCATTTCGATAACAATATCCAACCATATATGTTCCATCGGCATCTTCCATTTCTGCGGATTTTTGATAATAGATGAATGCCTTATGTTCATCTTTTTCAACTCCAATTCCATTGAGATAACAATATCCAACCTGATATGTTCCATCAGTATCTCCCATCTCTGCAGATTTTTGATAATAAATGAAAGCCTTGTGCTCATCTTTTTCAACTCCAATTCCTTCATCATAGCAATATCCAACATTATATATCGCTCCAACGAATCCCATTTCTGCAGATTTTTGACAATAAATGAATGCCTTATGTTCATCCTTTTCAACTCCAATCCCTTCGTTATAACAATATCCAACGCTATTTATTCCAATAGCGTTATCGGTCTTTGCAGATTTTTGATAATAAATAAATGCTTTATGTTCATCCTTTTCAATCCATTTACCAAAACGGTAACAATCTGCAAGAATGATTTGAACCGTAGGATTGATTTGATTATCAAAGCAAAAATTGATAATATTAACTGGGTTTTGCTTCTTCTTTATTAAAAATTGTTCTAATATATCAAGAATTGAATGGGGACGTATGCCTTTCAATCTTTCTTCAATATACAAATTACACATTTCCTTAACAATTTCATTAAGAAAATCCTGAGAAAAATCCTGCAACATGTCTTCTAAACACATTCGAGTAATATTATTGACTATTTGAGTAATATCTGATGAACTGCTGATTTTTTCTGGCTGGCCTTCAAATTGGTTATTGCAAATTGACATTTTAACGCAAGAAAGAGTTACATGATACATTATCGTTATGGAAGTATCCAATTTATTGAAGATATGTATCACATTACACTACATACGATACGTATAGCAAACTTAATTTTTTTGCATCAAAAATATAATAATAGTCTAATCATAGTAACGATTTGCAACAACACGTTATTGTACGATCAGGATTTTTTATAGGGAAATCTGGGACGGAATGCATCGGAGCTAGGCAAGCATTTAGCAATGCTAGCTAGCAGAGTCTGTAACAAAATTATCATCTGGGCATTTTTACTTAATACTATGATTTTATCAGCAAAACTTTTAATGATCTTGGGCAAATTGACCAATTCCAGCACAGCCCACCAGGATTCCGATGCATTCCGACCCGGGATTTTGGTTCTTTCAGGAAAAAGCTATTTAAAAAAACATTGAAATTCATATGGGAATAGGTTCGCTAACTTTAGCCATTTCTAAACTAATGTTACGTGTACCAATCATAAACCCATTGCTATCTCTATATGTCCCTAATCTAAATGATTTTAATCTAAACTACATAGAA